GGGGGGGGATCGTGGGCGCGTGATTTGCGGAGTATCTTTGCCCGCACCAATATGCTTGTTGTAATGAAACCTGGGATCACGAGCAGAGCTACTGCTACATTACAATCATTGGTACAAGTCTCGCTCATAATGAAGTCCTTCTGTGTGTTGTTGTTGTTGTTGTTGTCTTCACATTAAAAACCATCCCGGTCTCTCTATCCAGTACCTCCTTCTGTCTCAATCTCTCCGTACTAATCCATCACTTGACTCGGCCAATTTACGTGGTCACAGGCTAACGTACCTAGAAAAGGTATACCAAAATAAAATGGACCCCAAGGGTCAGCAGAGCGATAAAATACAAGAAAACAAAATATAATCAGAAACAAATAAAATAAAATAAAATAAATAATTAGACTAGTGGAACGGCCGCACCACCAGCCTGGGGGGGTAGCCTCCCACTACATGTGTGTGCATGTTTATTGTTCCCGATACCACACGGCAATCAGAGCCAGATTTTCGGCACCGTTGTTCGCCGAGAGTGCGAGAGAGCGGTCGACAGACCCAAGATCAACATTTACCATGTGGAACAACATACTCCTCATGTAGCATGGAAAACCTTCACCTTTAGAGAGGCAACACTTCACACGACAGAGAGAGGCGGTCATTGCAAGGGAGGCGACCAAGGCTCTTTACCCCCTGCAGCCAAAGCCCGACAAACATCTGCTTTCTTCCAAACAAAACCTTCTTGAGCTCTGTACCCTTACGCGAGAGAGACAGCGCCGGTGAGATATGGGCGGACTCGTGTCAGGCACCACCTGATCAACATTGACCTGTTCACCAGCTTGTGTCAGGCATGATATCATGTGCGAGCCCTGTGGTGTCGGCCTTGTAGCCAGGTTGTCAATACTGCTCCCGTCGCATCCGCCAGTGAGCTACGACGCCAATCGAATGCGGTTGCTGTTGTTCTATTTTTTCTCTGAAATGAAAAATAAATTCCAAATCTACGCATGCTTGCTATAATAGCGTTCACAGGAGTTAGGCGGAGAATAAAAAACACTCCAGTGTATGCCTTCCTCCTGCGCGACCCGGGCTGGTGCGTCAAGCACATGCCGCAAGCTTAATGGTCTGGCGCGCCCAGCGAACGACACGAGGATGGGATGAAAAATACGCACACACACGTAAAACCTAGCGCCTCCTGCTCTTGTGTGCGGATTATCGGTCGCTCTGCGAAGAAATTTTCAACTTTCCTAGGCATATGTTTGGCAAGGGGTACGGGGCAACCTACAACGGCCACAATCACCAACAAGACAAGTGGCAGGAAAACAGAGATGGCCAGCAGAGTTGCTTGAACGTACATACCACCTCGCACCATCGTGAGGGTGACCACATCACCCCTTGCCCACAAGCAAGTATTTTCGCTGCTCCGACCTTTCGGTCGGGGTAAAAATCATCCGTCCCGGCCTAGGGACACAAACTTGTTCCAGGAGCGTAAAACACCAGGAATACGTTCATCGACGATTGACTGACCTTGCGCTTGGTTCCCTTGTCGGTGTTGTTCCTTCACTCCTGTTGTCCGATGTGCTTGGGGAAACGAAAGCTCATGCAAGGCGCTACTACCAAAACCTACCTGCTGTGCTGTGTGGCGTGGCGGGTGGTCCGACAAAAACGCGGGGGGTGTATGGAAATACGTTTTCCTCTGTGTGAGCCCCCCACTGCACCGCTCGCTTCGCCTCCCTGGCCCGCCCAACCCCGTGCACAGCAGCAAATGCCAGTGCCAGAGCACAGCAGCATCGCCATGAATGACAAGATATGCGTTTCGAAGACCATGCTATTGCTGCTGTTTGTCAGCATCGACGGCGGCAGGCTGTCGAAGATACACGCCGTGGATGCATTTGTCCCACCAAGGCCAGTATCGTATTCAACAGGTCGAGGGATTTTGGATAGTCGCTGCAGGAATCGACCTCGGTGGCTGCAGCAGTTGAACCTACCATTAAGGCTGTTGCAGGATGATCTCCTGTTGTCACGTTCTAGCCCCGGCAAGAAGAGCAGCTTGTCCATGGGGGGTAAAGGAACGGATCTCGGGGCCTTGCCTTGGAAGACCGACTCGCGGAGCGTCAGGGAATGGCTGGGCCTCTCTGAACGGGAGATAGACAAGCTGCGAGAGACGCTCACATCCGCGTCACGCCGCAACCTCCTCGACCAGAGGCTTGACCTGCTGGCCAATGGGCAAACCGACTCTGTGTTGGTGAGGGAAAGTAGAGAGGCAGGCAACGGGAGGTTGCGTGCCAAAAATAGGGGAAAGGGGGCTCCAAAACTTAAGTCATTTGGCTCGGAGAACTGCAGCATTGTCGTAGGTGGCACCCAAGTACACATACCTTGGCCACGACCCCATGGGTACACCTACCCGACCTCTCCCCTTTGAGGATTGTCTCGGGTGGGTAAATGATGTAGTCCTTCTGCAATAAGGTTCTAGAAAGTGTACCGAAAAAGGAGCTGCGAAATACTTGTCGCAATGAAGATGAAGGCATGGACCAAGGTTGGATTTCGACGGAGCGGCCCCGGTCTGTTGAATGAAGGGGTGACCTCGGCTCTACAGCACAGATGGTTGATGGAGAAGAGTAGACTGGTGAAACGAGGATTTTACGTCAATGAGATGAGTAAAACCCTGACACTTCCAATTCAAAGCAAAACAGCCCTTAGCCATCGCTGCCACTGCTCCTAAGCTTGTTGCGTTTGCGTGCGCATCATGTGTACATCAGCAGCAGTGAAGCGCAACAGTAAATGTAGTCTAGACTAATAGTAGCCGCAGTATCGCGAACCACCTTGCGTGGTTACCATCGTGACCTTGTGCCCTACCGCATGAAACAGGGGTTTCTCAGAGTGGAGTTTCGCATGTCTAAGGCAAACATTCGCTCTTTGATATCGAGGCACCCGCAACTCCTCTTCATGCCTCGACAGCAAGCGGTGGATCGATGTTCCTGGCTGGTGAGTTTGGTTGTCCAACCACGATATTCAAGATGATACCAACTACAACGTACGTGTTGCTTGTACAATGCCACACCCGAGTTGTCGCAGGAAGACAACGCAAGTTCGAGATCTGGCTTAAACCCTTTGTCAGATCTCCCCCTTTCCGTGCAGCTTCTCAAAAGATATGCGCGTACGATTCGAGCGTATGCTAAGGCTACCGACATGCCCTTTGAAACCTCTCGCTGCGCTTTTTCGAAAGTCATCGCTACATCCCGAACAACGGATTTCTGCCAGCTGCCGCTCTCAACACGTACGGTGTCCGCATGTTTGAAATCGTTTCGCGCGCAAGTCGGAGAATCTCAGCCTCAGCAAGAAGAAACTCGTGAAGATGCTGCTAAAGTTCCCCAGGTTGTTTGGGTATAGCGAGAAGGGGAGCTACGCTCCCCTGGTAGATTGGTTCAGATCATACCTGGGGATGGACACTCGGGAGGTAAGCGCCATTGCTGCCCTTTTTTTCCCATGAGAAAAGGAGAGTGGAGATACGGCAAGGAGCTAGAGGTTGCGGCAGAGTGGTGCACAACGTTCATCGAGCGATTGCCCTGACACTGATTAGGCAGTGTCGTTCGGTCTGAGGCTAGCCCCGAACCAGAAACGAACAGTCACCCACCGTTTCTTGTTGACATGGAGAGCACCAATGGTTGCCGGGCAACGAGTGCTGCGGAGCATCAGCAGTCTCGGTGCGTGCACCTCGAGTGTACGCTGTGTCGCCCATTTGGTGATGTCGCCCGGTGACGGTACCAGCGGCAACAGATTGCCAATGTGTACGCCCGGGGTCGTTCGGTTGGAATCTGTTGATAGAAATATCGTGAACGAGCTAGTGAATCTCGCACCCATATTTGAAAGGCGCGACACAGATGCTGTCGCTACATGCCTTCACTCAATACGTTAATTCAGATTTTGCCCAAAAAAACGGTGGTTTGCTGCAATTCAGCACCCTCGTTGACAGCCGTCTCGCACGAATGACTCGAGGTTCTGCAGCAATCACCATCCCATGCCCGGAACTATTGCGCGGTGTTGTTTCGCACTTTGTTTACAGGTGGCGCGGTTGGTGGTCCGACTACCGCAGCTTTTCAGCTTCAAGCCCGATGAGAACATTGAGGACACGGCTAGGTGCGTTCTGTGCGCCTGTTGCCAAGGGAGAGCTGTCAAGACTCATCGGTATGCTCTGCTGTAAATTTGAGCGCCTCCATCTTTGGAGTCATCGACCAATATCCCATGGGCGTCAGCTTGTGTATTTAACGCATGCTTCTGGGGCAGGCCAGGGCACAATAGAAAACGAGTCACTGAAACCTGATTCGCCAACAGGATAACTGCAGGCTTATTTCTCTCGTCGTGCTAACCACCCAACTGACGCAGGTTTCTGGAGTCGCTCGGGCTTAGCCGCAAGGAGGTCTGCAAGATGGTGCTTTTACATCCCGAAACTTTCAGCTGTGAGTGTTTTGTCGCGACTGGGGGCACTGGATAGTTGGCTGCCTTTGCTATCTTCCTGCTCGGCAGCGCATCCTTGTTCCGCCAAAGGACCGCGTGCTGCTGCTTGTGCTACGCACCAGGGCGAGGTTGTGTTGGTGTTCGTTGTGCTCAATGTTTCGCAGCATGTCTGGACCAATTCATGACCTTTCGCCCTCTCGGCAGGCCTGAACAGCAGTGAGGTGTGGGCCGCGTTCGGGAAATACGGCTGCCTCAACCTTGCAACAGCCGCTTGAAACGCGATCTGGGCACACCATTAGGCGATGAACTTGGAACGTTCTCGCCCCCCCCCCCCCCC